AAAGGGATTTATAATGAACTATACATGTGCAACCAACTTGATCTTAAAACAAATTAAGTATCTGTATTCAGGGTACAAATGTAGGAGAGAGAATCAGTCCTTATGCAACTAAAAGGAAAATGGTGGAACACCAGCTTTAAGGTTATGTCCTTGAAATACTTCTCCCAATACATAATTAGACACTTACTAAAATTAAATTTTATAGGGTTTAGATCCATCCATCACATGCTTTGGGACTTCTAAAATCAGTAGTTTGGTTACATTTTAAAAGAATGAGAACTGAAGGTCTTAAGAGTGCTACAACAAAGGGAAGCAAAATGAATGCAAAAGGGTGTAAAGGTTATCTGGAATAGCAACCCTTGTGTGAGTGGTAATTGGTTTCTTCATGAAAGGAAGTGTTTATTTTCAATTACTAAAGGAAACAAAGCCCTATTTCCTCACCCCCAGAAGCAGATTGTGTTACTCAAAATGTCTGTATGTTTTCCTTGTTTCCTCCCAAAATATCCAGCAGCCTTCTCTACGCTAATCTCCAGTAATACATGCAGCAAAAAGCTTGTAAAATCAACAGCTTGGTTTTATTTGGTTTTTAATTCTTCTAAATTAATGTGCATTTCTTAAAAAGTCTGTTTAGAACAAAATTCTAAACAAAATGTTTAGAACAAAATTCTAACTTTTGTTGACTGCCCAGATAGCCCTGCCTATTGGGCTGTATAATAAATAAATAAGCCAGTCTACTGTTTAGATAGATGCTTGTGCTCTTTTGCTGAGGCGCTGGGTGGCATCTATTTCAGGGACAAGCAGGGTTAAAGCATGGCTGCTGGACTCTGGCTCAGCTCAGGGACTTGGGCCTGAAGTCTAGAAAGGAATAGAGTTAGGGTTAGGGTTCTGTTTTCAGAAGCAAGGGAAATACTCCCCTGTGCGCTTTCACATTATTTATATGAAACAGAAGGTTGCAACAGATTAGAGTCACTGGACATATTACAGGCTCAGCTCCACATGAATGTCCACTGCTCCATGTGGTGACTTCAAATAAAAAACTGCCTATGGCTCCAAAGCCCCAGCCTCTTTTCTCACTTCTTCTCAACGGAGTTTGTTCTCTTGGTTAGCTTCATGCGTGCAGCTTCACACCCGCCTTTTAATTCTGAATTTAGTACTCTTGAAACATTGGGCTGGGTCCCTAGATGAAACACCATGAATGCACCTTTGTCTTGCTTTGTTTGAATCTCAGTACACATTTTCATGTACATTTACTCGTGAATTTTCATATTCAAAATTTAGAATGTAAAACAGCTATGTCATTCAAAGACTGTTTAAAATGTATGTCTTTTTCTTTCTTAAGGACTTGACATTGTTGGTGTTAGAAGAAACAAAGTACCATATAGCGCAGCTTCAAAAAGAGATGCTGAAGTACTATGAAATTTGCAGTGCATTTGTTAAGCGGATCAGTGCTTTCAATTTGATTTCCTAACCATCCTGAAGTTCAAAAATAAGGCATATGAGGTGTAGAGTTGACTTACATTTCCTAGGGAGTGAGTGTGTTCATACTCCATGTGTGCTCTGCTCAAGGAGTTGGAATGTCCTGAATAAGCACCAGTTCCTCCATTGACAACACCATTCATAATCCCATTCATTCCATTTGGAACCTTGTGATGGACGTGAAGGCAACCATTGTTATGGTTGCCATTGCTGATGAAGTTTCCATGTATGCTGCCATTGATACGACTTGTGCCTGGTAATGTTGTGTATTCAACCACTTGCCCATTGATATCAGCACTTTGGTAGTGGTAACCAGGAGGGTCATACTCTACAAAAGCAAAATCAGGAGAAACCCTTGAGCAATTCAACTCAAAAAGTCATGGGTCTTTCACATGGAGACTAAAGTGCCTTTACAATCTTCTTCCTTCAGTCACATTGAATGTTCACAATTATTCAACAGCGACTATAACAACGATTGAAGGAGGCATACTGTGGTTTAATGGTTTGAATATTATGCAGTAATATTCTCATTAGGTTTGGAGGTAAAAGACATTAAGAATACCCTAAGTGACCTACTTTGCATGGCATTTTGCTGCCGATTTTTCCATAAGCACATGGCAATGAAGGCTATCAGAATAAGGACCATCACTCCAAGGACACAACCCACGATGAGGTATAACATGTCACTACTCCGGACAGGACCACTTGGTTGACCAGCATTGCTCCCAGCTCCCCGGTCAGGCAAATTAGGTGGTGTACTAAGGTCTCTCACTGGATACTCTGATGCTCCAGGTGTGCGTTTCACTAATTGAGAACACAACAAGTTTCTGATTAGCACAAATTCGAAATGGCAGATTTGCCAAAATGTTATTCTAGTTGCCAAACTCAATAGAGAGCTGCAAATGGCAATAGAGAGCTGCAATTCTAATGTAGCCGTAAAATATGAAGATAAAACATTTCTGATGATAGATTACTGGATAATACCCATTTCTTTGGGGAAACCATTAATAATTGCAACCAGTTGAAGCACAATGATTTAAACATGAGAGGGAAAGGAGAAACATGAGAAATATTTTATAGATGTAAAAGATATTAGGATGAAGAATGCAGCAAATTTACTATCAGAAGAAACTAACAGCTTCTTCTCACCTTTGGTCTCACAGATCATGACATTGCTGTAGTCACTTTCACCTCCTTCATTATAGCATTGCATCTTAATATCATATGATGTTTCAGGTTGCAGGTGGCTTATCAAGTGCCATTGTTTTGTGCCTAGAAAGAAAAAGTATAGGCAGACATTTTCTTGTTTAACATAAAAGTATAATTGCAAGAGCATTTGAAACAACAACCAAAACTACAGTACAATATGAGAGCAAAGTTAAAAATGAAAAAAAAAAAATGTTATAATTTGGATCTGAAGAGTAGCCCGATTCCCAAATCAAATTTCTATAACCTTTATAAACATTTCTGCCTGAAAGCTGGAATACGGCAGCTATTCAACGCACAAAATTAAGGGCAAAGACCTAACCAAACACCAGTTCAGATAGCAGTAAAACCAATTTGGCAGAATATAACTGCTACAGCTTTAGAATCTGACCAATATGGTGCCTTGCAAAAGTATTCAATCCACCCTTTGGTTTTTCCACATTTTGTTGTTTTGCAACCTGGAAATGCAATGGATTTGACACTGTAACTACTTGATGTATGCACAATCTTCAGCTTTTCACCGTGGGGATGGTGTTCTCAGGCAATCAGTACAACTGGCTTTGTGCCCACACAAAGCATTTTACAGCAAGGCAAAAAAGTTTAACTTGGACTTCATCGGGCCAGAGAAGCTTTCTTCATGTCTACTGCATCACCCACATGCCTCTTTGCAGACTCTAAAGGTGCTTCACTATCTGTTTTAGCCATTGCATTCTTCTTGCCACAACCATAAAGTCCAGCTTTGTGGAGTGTCCAGGAGATAGTTATCCCATGGATGGTTTCTCCCATCAGAGTTGTAGATCTGTCCAGCTCCTTCAGAGTTATCATTGGCTTCTTGATTGCTTCTCTGACTAATGTCCTCCTTATCCAGTCACAGAGTTTTGGTCAAGGGTCTTCTCTAGGCAGAGTCACAGTTAAGCCGTATTATTTCTAAGTTACAAAAATGGATTTAGTGCTATACATGGGGATGTTCACAGCTTGGAAATTGCTTACTATTCCTAACCTAATGGATGCTTCTGTACATCTACAACCTAGAACAGTTTTGACAGTTCCTTGGTCTTTGTGATGTTGTTTAGGTATGCTCCCTAACAAATTCTGAGGCCATCAAAAACAGTTTTATTTCAGCTGAAATCCTTTGGCACTGGACTCCATTCACCTACATCCATTATGTGACTTCTGGTGGAAGTGGGTTGCATTAGAGCTTCTTTAGGCATGTCACAGCAAAGGAGGTGAATACTTCTGCATCTAGCAAGTGCTACTGTGCTTTTGTTTACTTAATTTTTGCACCACAATAAAAATATTTTGCACCTTCATGGTGCTGAATACTGTCAGAGTCCAAGGCATGGTTGCAGGTAACTTATAAACACCAGGACCCAGACACCTTAATTCCAAGTATTAACCGATGTCCTATCCGCATTCCAAGCCAATAGTAGATAAGCACGAACCAGGAGCCAAGAGGCAGAAAGTCCACATAAGGAGAGGGCACCTTAGAAGAAGAAGCAGACGTGGAGGCAAGTTCCAGGAGTGGACACAGGCGCAGGGCTCAGAGCCAAGGCTTCATGGAACAACACCACAACAAGTCAGGAGATCTTTGTTGTTAAGGCAGCTTCAGAAGGGAAGAGACAGTTCTTATATAGCTCTTCCCTCAGGGCTCCCACGTGGTGTTCATAATGGCCCTGTCAGCTGTGGCAGGCCATGGGTCCAATCCTGCAACCACCAGGGCTGTAATTCTGCCTCAATTCCTGACAAATGCATTATGTACCATTGTGCGAATCCATTTAAGCTCCAGATTGTAAGCACAACAAAATGTGACAAAGTCAAAGGTATGGTATGTGTGATTACTTCTGCAAGGCACTGAGTATAGACCAGTTGTGCATAACTTCGGTGGCTTCTTTCATTCACCCTACAGATTAGTCATGAGTGGCTTCATTTTCATAAATATTTGCATTGTAGGCAGGTTGCCATTTTGTCTGAATCCATGGCTTGTTCTAGGGTTCTGAAGTGGTCTGGAACCCATCCCATCATCCATTCTCACATGGCAAGCTGCACGTGGTACAGGTAATTTTGGAAATGAGGCAGTGTGTCACCAACACATGCAAGGTTTCTTTTCCTTCCTCAGCTGTGTGGACCCAGCCACAGTAATAAATAAATAATAATAAATCATTATTATTTAAATAAATATTCTTTGCCAGAATATTTTGGCACCACAGTATGCTAAGATAATGGAATACCCTCCCGGGAAAGACTCTGTTTCTAATTCTGTTGTCAGTGGTCTTTCACTGCTTTATTTGTGTAACATTTAACATTTAAATTTTGATATTGATACACTTGGTAGCATATTTATATTTACTGTAACATTTTGTTGATTTTGGAAGCTGACTGTCTTTAAAGATAAACAGATGAGACGAAAAAATAGTATTATATTATATTATTTTAAATAATGCAAAGAAATAAAGCCAACCTGTATCCATCTATTTCTTTCCAACTGGACTACAAGTACTTCCTCAAGAAAACTCAAGGAAAGCTTAATACTAATCAGAGGAACAGAAATTTCTACCATCTTCTATAAATATAGGAAGTGAGAAAAGTGTGGATTGTGTGCACTCTTGCATTAGGAATCCAAATTCAAAGAAGTTTATCTTGTTTAAGGGTTAGCGTTTATTATGTCCGGCTTAAAGTCAATATTGGAAACCATCTAGAATGTTGTGTGATCTGATAAACTACTTATAGTTTTAAAACACAGGAATCCTCTATATTTATTTTAGATAGACTTCTTTAGTTTTTTCCTTTAAAGAGAATCAGTTCAAGCATTTCAGTTCTATTCTGTCTGCACTGGTACGTATCAAGGACAGTTTAAGCAACAGCCATGAGAATGTATATTGAGGGTTTTTTATGCTATCTTCAGAAATCAAATATGAAATGAAAAGATTCAGCACATGAGACAAAAGTAGGTTTGATGTTGGTTTCCCTGAACAGACGAAATAACCAGTCACTATATAATGAACAACAAAATGCAAACATCAAGATTAAATAAAAAGAGAGGCTAGTATGTTACAACATATATAAAAAAGAGTTGAGTCAGAGTTTTGACTCAGTATCAAAAAACATCTGAACAGGAGGTGATAATGGAGCTGCTGCAACAACGGCTAAAGCTTTCTACTTCTGAGTTGCTGAAACAGTAAATTCCTGATAAAATTCTGTCACCTATTCACTGGCAAAAAGAGTAAAATGTAAGAGTGCAGGGATCCTAAAAGCATGCCATCTAACGAAAGCTGGGATTTTGTCAAATGCGTGATCCTATATAAGTGAGGCTAAAAGGATATATTCATTTTAAAAAAGTGGCAATTTCATGCAGTAAAGAAAAGCTTGATGTGTAGCATTTCCACCACTGCACTCCTGCTCAAATTTTGGTAGAACAGAGCAGCTGCTAATAGTTTCAGGCTTCCACTAAGATTTCAGTAAGCATAAACCTGAAAATTAAGAACAAGCACATTTCACAGAACAGTGGCAATCACTTAAACATTTATAAACACAGATTCTGTGTACCAGAAAACTACAAACGAAACAGCTAACTTCTGTGGAGTTAATAGCTTTGGTTTCAGTTAACGTCACTCAACAGATTGCAAGGCATTTGGCATTCCTGTAGTGGTGTAGGATGATATTAATGCAAAAATAAACTAAAGCGACTTCTGGTAGCCAAGTCTTGTTCTATGCAATCCTAAGAAGACTTCATAGTTGCACCACAACGTGATGGCGAAGGAATTATGTGAATATCATTGAACAAATCAACTGCCTGCTCTTGGTTTAGAGTACATACTTTGGTTCAAAACGGAAGTCTTCATTTAAAAAATTACAAGGGTAAAATTCTGAAAGTCAATTTCCCTGGAACAATTTGGAAGAAAAGAACCTCACTGCTTTCATTACCTCATTGGGCAAACCAAGGTTTTTATTCTAGTACTTAAGCTCTGGTCCACCGGATCCAGGAAAAATTCCTGCCCCCAGACACTTTGCTTTTCGTAAGCATGACAAGGAGCACAGTCCCTTTCTATATAAGAGAGAGAGAGATGTCTGTTTGTTGTGAGCTTTTAATTATGATCTCACAACTAATGCACATTTTTGGCTGATGTTTCAAAGAGAAAATGTAACTGGAGCATTTTCTTACTTACCTTCTACAATGTCCCTCTTGTAATCACTGTCATTGTCACTATCAGTTGGGCGATAATAGATATAAAATCCTTGGATAGGTGTGTTGTTGTTACTTGAAGTAATATACTAGAATAGAAAAATTAAACATTTTAAATTCCAGGACTGTGGGCAACAAAGGAGACATTTAAAATAGCTCATTTCACATATATTCTTAGCTATTCCTATGGCTTAATTCTACCTCTGCATTGCACCAGTGAACAACATGCAAGTAGCTAAAAATGGAACGGGAGAAGTGACTATTTGCAAGAAGGACTTGTTCGCAATTACTTATACAGCATATTTCAAAGGTTATCATCATATGGTTCGTGTAGCTCTTTCCTGCTTTCAACCGTAACTGAAAAGAGTACGTGTGAAGGAATACGTCATAGAAGCAAAACTAATTGTTCCATAATGCAGATTTGCGCACAGCGGGCAGCATTCCTTCCAAAATGAAGAGAGGCCGATACTTACCGTCCATTTTAGCATAATCTGAGTGTCACTGACTGCTTCAGTGTAAGCAATGTGAGGACCTGTGACAGGACGGTTGGAAAATCGGTTGGTAAAGCCAGCTACTTGATAAGGCCAAGAAGCAGAACTTCGTCGACTCTCTCCGTAATTATTAATGGCAATCACACGAAACTTATATGCAACTCCTTTGATGTGAACAAAAAGAAAAAAAGTATTTTAGTTAGGTAGTAAGAGAGAAATTCCTAACACTCTAGAAGATGCTGAACTCAACTGGTCCTCTAGTTCTGGTCCAAACACTTCCCAAGGCAAACTTCCATGAAATTTCCAGATCCGTGTCGTTTTCTCCTTGAGAGACTTCAAGAGAGATGTCTAAATCTCTCTTCAGAAAGGGCCTCAAAAATTTCGCCAGAAATCAAGTCCTGGGCTTGCATGCATTCATATTTAGCAGATACTGGATCAGATCTTATTTCTTCTACCAAGAATAGACCAGGAGCAAGATGCAAGCATGCAAACGAGCCAAGGTGTCACTCCATATTGAATTAGGACAATAATTAAGGATTAATACTTGTGTTTACTGCTCAGATATGTGGCTAAAATATAAGGCACAGGGACAGAATAATTTTCCTGAATTTTATTCAGGATTAGTGCCAATAAGAACAGCTTCTTATGGGATCAGTAAGTTCTTAAACTTAGCTACATCATAAGTATATAATACATCACTAATACGGATGATGACCTTTGTTCACCATGTTAATACATGCATATTAATACCTGGATCCAAACTGCGAACTTCCACCGAAAGTTTAGAAGGAGAGATATTATCAGCCGCAACCAGCCACTCGCTGTTCCTGTTCATGCGTTTATATTCTACTTTAAAGGCAGTAATAGGTGATCCACCATTTGCACGCGGGATCCAAGTGACATAAACAGACGTCTCTGATGCTGTAGAGATAGTGGGTCGATCTGGTGCCTCAGGAACTAAAACAGAAAATTGGCAAAGCTTTATACTGCATAGCTACAAGTCTGTCATGTCTACACCTGTGTTTTACTTGTGCATTTCAGTCAATTTAGAAAGCATATGCCCAATGAGAATTAGTCTTAAGTCCTGGAAGGGCTTCCTTAAACACAAACATGGAAGATCATTTCAGTTATCAGAGTCGGAAAGAATTAAAGTTTGTTTCAAAAAACAGAATAGCTACTTTGACAGCCACAATATTATAGACTGAATTGTATCAGCACATACCAGTCCTGAAGTATTAGCACCCCATCATTAACAAAGACTACTGCATAACTTCTTACAACCACAGAAACAGGGCACCCTGCTGTGTTACTTCCACTTGGTGCTAAACAGAATTCATCTTATTAAATAGAGACTATGCCACTTGAAGAACAGAGTAGTAAATCTAAACTGAAACTTCTAGCCTCATAAAAGCCCAAGGTTATTAAGCATTCAGACACGTTAAGCAGTCACTCAAAAACAAATTAGCTAATACTCAAACCCATGCAGATTATGTTAATACTTACTCAACTCACTGGAAGTTAGACAGCAGTGGGAACAGAAAGAATGGAGAGAGATGGTGTTAGCAAGTCTGAGTATAAGCATTCGGACAGATACATCCTCCAGTTGTTGCCACACTGGTTTATACAATTAAGGGGGCAATCCTGCAGGTGTCCCTCAATGGTTATAAGCTCCGCAACTCAAGGGTCTTACAAGCATCAATGCACAGCAGGAGAAGCAGCAGAGGCTACTGCCCTCACTGTGCTCCACTCGCTTTGCATTTTAGCTAGACAATGTCCCTCTAGCTGAGGCACTTCAGACAGGGACTGAAGGAGGGTCAAAGGACACATGGTGTTCTGTAGCTAATCCCCTCCCCGGGATCGTGGCTGAGTTCTTGACTTTGGGCAGGTAGCTGGTGCAGTATTTTTCGTGCTGGCTGCCAGAGGCCAAGGACAGATTCCCAGCAGATTCTGTTCCTGACCTTGGATTTGGGGATACAAGCCAGGCAGGGCCGTAAGGACAATTTGGAATACCACCAATCCTGAATTAATTAACCTGAAATTTGTTACAGTGTGTGCCAGACAAATTTTGCAGCCTTGTAAAGTATTGGAGACATGTGATGATGGTTTATGATATCTGAATCTGGGAGATATGTTACTCCTCCCAACTCACAGTTAACATAACTACTAATTTAATCACAATTTGCCACTGCTACAGGCAAACCAAATCCTAGAGTGCATTGCAGAGGAATAAAGGATTTAGAATAAATAAATAAAGGATTCAGAAGAATTAGTGTAACAATGAAAAAATGGTGCTCTACTGTTCTTCTCAAGCTCATAAAAGCAGATACAGAACTCTGAATGATTTCTACTCTTCAGTTTTTACTTCAGGTTTCCAAGATAAGCATAAGAACCATGTTTCAAATCAATTTAACTCTAGTGATGTATCTTATAACATACATTAAAATAAGATGATTTAGCAATATGACCAAAAGATATATTATGCAAGCACTTATTTAGCCACTAGTCAGAACATTCTACAAAGTATAAATTCAACTATTTTCAGCATTTCAACATGCAAGCCAAGAACACCGACAATGACTAAATTTTACTCTCTCTATTCTATAATGACCTGGTTCACATGATCACCACAGCCTACTATTATTTAATATTGATGTAGTCGTCTATTCAGGTCCTAGCAACAGCTTGTCATGTTGACTAAACCTGAGCTCCAGGGCTTGCCTGTTGTCTAAAGGTTCAACAACCTTGAAATAAGCCATGGGCAGCTGTAGGTTATTTGAGGGTTGCTGAATGCTTGAACAACCACTGCTGCCTATGTTTGGACGACATGACAAACCAATGCAACCCAGTGTCAGGAGCTGAATATTCAAAATGGCTGCCTGTTTACAACCGACAGCGGCTTAAATAAGTCATGGTAGACTACAGAGATCGTGCAATGAATCACATTGGGGGTGGGGAAAAAGCTTTGGTAAATGGCAAATTGAAAAGATACTGTCACCAAACCAAAACATATGGTTGAACCACAAAATATAATGCTACTACTTAGTATCAGTCTGGTGCAGCATAGTGCAATGTCTAACACAAGAATGTGCTGACACAAACAAAACAAAACAAGGCAGGTGTTTCCCACAAGGGACACAGGGAAACATAAAACTATTTTGCAGAGTCAGATCACTGGTCAATCTTGGCCAGTACCATCTAGTCTGATTGGCAGTTGCTTTACAAAGCCTCAAGCACAGGCACTACCCACATCCGGTATTTAAGATTTTTAACTGAAAATAGAACATAGGAAGCTGCTTTATAACAGGTAAGACTATTTGCCCATCCAGCCTAGTCTTTATTGCCTACTCACTGACTAGTTGGCAGTAATTCAGGTTCTGGGACAGAGGCTTTCATTCCATCTGATCTTTTTTCACTGGAAATGTCAGGCTCTGAACTTGATTTACAGCATGCAAAACAGGTATTTTATTAGTGAGTTTCAATAAGGAATTTGATGCTTGACCAGTCTGGTCTTTTTAAGCTGCCATACTATCAATTCAACCAGCTGAGTCACAAAAGAAATATTTATATTTAGGTATAAGTGACCCAAAATCATGGAAAAACAGTGCAAGAAAGCTCAGAAAGGAGACAATCAACCCTTCAAAACCATTTAAACACCTAGGAAGAGGTCAGAAGAACAGTGACAGCTACCTCCACTGTGTCGAGATGAATCTGGAAGCACCACACCAAAATTGTTAGCTGCACCTTCCTGAACAACAGAGTGCTTCGGAATACCAACTGGTTGCAAGGGAGCCTGTGTATTTTTTGAGGAGGCTGATCTTTCTAACAAAGAAATTACATGGTCAATGAATAGAACACATTTCAGCAATGTTGGGAAAAACGTTTGTCAATATCCCCTCCTACAGTGGTTTTGAACTTTTCTAGCAAACTTTACAATCACACACAACCTAACAAATCATATTGCATTTCAGAATGCATTCTGTGCTACACAAGTAGAGAGCAATATGAGTGCACCCAATGAAGCTTACAGTGTCAATATCCCACCAAACAAACTATACTACACCAGTATAGCCTCTGCTCGTACTTAAGGACAGACCCAACATGAAAGCCCATCTCTGGAGTAAGCTCATATGGTACTCTTGACAGCCCCTAAGAAAGGAGATTGTATCAATGTGAAGCATCTATAAAATGCTCTTTTGGGGTCTTTCATCCACCGCTGAGGCCTCTGCTAACAGTAGGAGCGATTGTTGCCAATCCGTCCTTAGCCCTGCAGCCCTCAGTGCTGTTATGGAGGTCTGCCAGCTTAGCAAAGCCAAGTTTCATAGGCAGCCGCAGCATGGAGGTGAAATTAATGAAAATTGCCTCTTTTCCCCTCTGTCAGCAGCTGCCAGGAGTGCTCATGCTGTCAATGGGACTCCAGTCATACAACCTTTAGGTGCCAACCAGAGTTCTGTTTCAGAACAAGCATTGGGTATGGGGATCCAACAACTCTAACCATTATGTAAGAGGTTTCCACAATTTGGAACATTCGATGAGAAAACTATCATCTGAAAAATGTTTGGGGGAAAGATGTGTAACAGAGAAAACACTTACCTTTGCTAGTACGGAAAGTAAGCATGGAAGGCTGGCCTTCACCAGCCAGATTTCTAGCTACCATTAAGACTTCATAGAGACTGGAGGGTTCCAATTCTGAGAGACACAGTTCATTTTCACTTCCAGGGACACGAACTGTATTCCAGCTTGTGACATTAACATTGTCATCCAGCTGTAAAAGGAGGGATCATAAAAGGCTAAGCCCAAAGAAAATTTTATCCAACTCTGTTGCATTTAACTAATGGAAAAGACAAGCCAAAATATAACCTAGGATACTACTTATTAATTAAAGGAAGATGCCAGCAAGTGATTTAAATGCAATACAGCTAATTACCTTATCAAATTCAGTTCTAGTTTCCTGTTCTTCAGTAACCCAAGTGGAAACTGTCAGGTCCAATTTTACATGGCTAGTAGCAGCCAAATCTTGGAAGGTACCCCTTAAGAAAATTAACCTTGGAGAAAATTGATGGGTTGTCACCATTTACTGGCATACAGTATTCCAAGAAAATTAAATCGGAATGATTTTTCTAGGAATGTTTAAAAAAACAGAAAAACAAAAACAACCTAGAATATTTCATTATGATTTGTGGGAACCAGTATAACTGTGATGAAGTGCAGGCAGTCTGAAGGGGGTTTAAGTGGGCCATTCTACCCAGTAAGCAATTTAGACTGGTCCACAAAAGACCAGAGCACTCTAGGTTGAATCCTTATCTCTAGTAAGATCTGTGCACATCTACAGTCTTTGTGCAGTTCGTAGTATTGAATGAAACACTGAATGAATACTGAAAGATTTGGTGTTTTGCACATCGAAAACAAAATAAACCCAAAATGGCTTCCTGAGCATTCCTTTGGAAGCTGTTAATAGAATACAGCACTTCTCTAATTCTAAGTTACCGAATAAAGAAGTGCCAAGAAGAGGTAAACAAGGAAGTAAAGGAGACCTAAATAGCTTGTTGCAAATGGATTTGGTAGCAAGACATCACTAAAAGCTGACTTAGAAAAAAAATCCATCGTTTTGAGGTAAGTACTGCAAAATATATATTATCGAAATAGTCAATTCAGCAACCATTACTAGTATAAGCTACTATGGGATTTGCCTTTGGGAAACAGAAAAAGTGATTCTTTATGCATCCATAATATGAAATTATACAAAATAAAACAAAACCACCAAACTTCATGAGATTTCAATAATTTGGTCTAAACAAAAATACTTTGTAGCATTTCTGGTTCTAGGTCAAAATGAGACCAGGATACCCACAAATGACAAGCTTCAATTTATCAGAAATGCTTGGCCTCAGATTCAGGAAAACATATTACTGGATCTAATTAAGTCATTTTAATATAGCTAGTGACTAGTTCGAAAAGAGTTCCGCAAAAAAAAAAAAAAAAAAAAAAACCCTACTAAAAAGATCGAGTGCTTACATTTCCCAGCAAAACATTTATTGCATCATTTCAACCCTTAAATTGAACGAGGCCCAAACATGTTCAGAAGCAGCAAACCCACTGCAATCATTATTACTACAAATATTCTAGCAGCATTACAGATCTACCCTAGCTTAATTCTGACCTAACATTATTGTTAAATTCTAAGTTCTGCAGCTTAAGTGGACTCTGGGGGATGGTGGAGGACAGGAAGGTCTGGAGGAATGTTGCCCATGGGGTCGCGATGGGTCGGACACGACTTCACGACTAACAGCAACAACAACAAAGCTTCTGCAGTTTACCAAGATTCATGCTTTTTTCATCACTAATGTCAAGATGTTACAAAAACTATGGAATCTGTACTCTTCAAACCTGCGAAAACAAGCAAGAGGAGGCAATTCAATGCATTACCTTGCGATATTTCACAAAATACGCATTAATTGGCTGGCCACCATCCTTTCCAGGCCGCCACACAAGGTTGTACTGATCTGGTTTATGTGTCTGTGGGGGACTGAGAATGATTGGAGCTTCTGGTGGAGAAATGCCATTTGATATTTTTTCTGTAGCCATTTCATCAGTAGGAATCTCTGTTGGAGATGATCCCTGGAGGCCCATTTCTGAATCTTCATTTCCTTCATCACTCTGGGCAACTTCCGCAGGAGCAATTTCTTCTGCTTTTGTACTAGCTTCATCAGAAACTACGGAAGGAGGTACACATAGCTTCAATGTTCCTTCTCTCTATGCAAAAATTATACACAGCGATGTTGACGAAATAAAAGAACAAACTGAAGGACAGTTCTAGTCCTTTTGCAATTGTCAATCCTTATCCTAAGTGCTAACAAACAACGCCAACTAATTGATTAGAAAATAACACTAAGGAATTCCAAGTACTCTTTGAGTACTGTTGCATCTCCTGAACCTACCAGTGCAAAAAGCCTTTTCTAGAGTAATATAAGCCAATAGCACAGAAAAGCATCAGCAGCAAAATAAATTTAGTCTCTGTAACAGCTTGTCAGTAATGAACTGGGGCTAGGATGCTGACATCTGCTAGTATGCACAAAAGATGTGAAAGAATGGAAGAGATTCTCTTCCCAAAGATTCACATGGATAATTTAAATAGGCCACCGCTAAGGTCTTATTCATATTTCTGCTTTATGCATGTTGCATAATACTATCCGATTATGGTAAGAGTTTATAAAATAATACTTCACTATGCAAAGGTCATGAATTCCCAGCCTGACTGCCTCACACTACTTCAGAGCTCCAATGACAGACCATCAAGTGTGGATGCTATTTCTGGCTGCTTCATGGAAACTGGCGTGGGAGGAGGAAAGTGCTGCCTCTGCCACAGTACCAGTTAAGCCTGCACTGAGCAGTGTTTAGTAACACTGTGATGACTGATGACAGTAACTCTAAGCTATGTGTGGCTTCCGCACTAACAGATTAGAGCCCACTGTTCACAAAATGTTAGAAGAACAGGCGCAAGCATATGAAATGCGGAGCACATGGCACACCGGGTGAGCAACTACCTATGGTGGCAAATGGCTTTGGGCTCACAGAGCTGACAGCAAAGTAGAACTATGTACAGGCTTATCATCAAGCTATTGAGAGAAACTCCCAACCATGCATTAACCATGTTAGCCACTTCCCAGTATAGCAAAATGATAATAGAATCATAGAACAGCAGAGTTGGAAGAGGCCAAAAGGCCACGGGGTCCAGTCCCCTGCTCAGTGCAGGACTCCATGCGAAACCATCCCCTCTCAGTGGAACCAGCTGCCTGGAGAGGTGGTGGGTGCTCCCACACTGGAGATACTCAGAAAGAACCTGGACAGCCATCTGAGAGCACAAGTAGCAGTACTTTTACCCCAAGTATGTTCTCACTTTTTAAAAAGGGCATTTTGGATGCCACTTACCAACTGTGAGCACCGTCTCTGAATGAGCCAGCCCATATTCATTTGCGGCTTCACAGGTGTATTTCCCAGAATGCTCTAATGCAACAGGCTGGACATATAAGGAGCTTGATCCACTGCGAGACATAATGAAGTAGGCTCTGTCTGAAATGGAGTTGCCAGTTCGTATCTGGGAGGATGGCTTGCGGGATTTGGAATGAAGAACCTGTGAAGGGTGGCTGGTAATCAGCCCATGGCTGTTGTACCAGCGAATAACAGGAGCGGGCAACCCAGAGGCATTGCAGGATAACATGACTGTGTCCCCATCAGTCACTCTGGTGATTGGTGGCAATGAAGTTATAACTGGCTTGAGACCTCTGTCTATTAAAATAGAAACATACAGAACAAACTCATATTATAATAAGCACTCTTCTTCCATATTCGAAAGTATACGCTATGGGTCAGCAGCTTGTTGGCAAACTACAATCTAGTTCAAAACATAAATGAAGGACTATTACAAGAGAACCCTTTAAACCGTAAATGGTTGGTCAAAACTATTCAATAAAATAATTCTAAAATGCAAATAGCCTATTAGAATGTAGTCTCAAAAAAGAGAACTTTAAAGAGCAAGAGAGAGAGAGGTGGTGGCTCTTTTTTACCTGCTTGTGAATGAAGCATTGCAGTGGACTGCACAAATCCAACACCGTTGTTCACTAGGCACTGATACAATCCTGAATCCTCTCTGGTGACACCAATAATTTTCAATTTGTTTCCTGAAAATAAGTGACGTGAAGAAAGATGGACAGGAGCTGCATTATGGTACCAGGTCAGATTTGGCATCGGATTTCCATGTATTTCACAGGAGAGATGCACGTTTTTACCAAGAGATACTACCTGATCCTGCAGTCCTTTGGAAATTGAAGCAGATTCTAAAAACAAACAGACTTGGTATTAAAAACTGTTTCATTCTCATTTTATCATACCAGCATTATTTCATTGGGCCTGTTCACATGTTATGATAGCCCACTGTGAATTAATTTACCTGGGGGGGCTTCCACATTTTCCTGGAAATTCCAGCATCTCTGCATTGCACCTGTAGGTACCTGGCTTGCTGGGCTTGGCATATTATGTGAACCCAGGCAGAAGGGGCTGTTTAAGAATTAGAAAACTCTCAAATAACTCTAGAACAAGCCTTAAGTTGTTTAAACGTTATGTAACCCTCAGACAATTGCTGCCAACTGGTTCACATGAAATGACAAATTCCATGGGCACTGCAGGATGGTATGACATGTGCCCATGGGCACCATGCAAAAGTAGGGAACCTAAAATAATGCAACAGCCACCGCAAGTAAATTAAGCCATACACACCTGTTGTGTTGTATGAACCAGCTCACTGGCTGTAAATGTTTCATTTCAACACGCTTGCAAATTAGCATTCTGTCACTGTCATATCTTACCAAGTACATTCACGCTATAGTTTACATGCTTCACAACTCCAGACTTGTTATCCACCACACAGGAGTAGTTTCCAGCATCTGATGTATCAATTGAGTCAGTCATAAGATGGGAGTGAAGAATTCGCCACTTTCCTCTAGTGAGAGCATCTTTGCCATCTTTATACCAATGGACATAAGAAACAGATAGTCCACTAACAACACATTCCAACATCAGAGGACTGTGCTGAGGTACTGCCAAAGTCTGAGAACCGGTGGGGTGAATTATGTGGAAATCATCAGAGGAAGAGCCTGGAGAATGAGTGAAAAGGAGACATGAGTCATTTAAAATGAGGTTCCTTGCTTTCTGCATTACTTTCAAAGCATTCCATTCCTTTGCCTTATTATATCACTTTATCAGAACATTAGGGCAAGTGCAGACATGACATTTAGTCAAAGTTTGTTCCTTTACACCTGGTTAAGTTCAAAACATAGTAACCCCGTGATTTAGTTGCCAAGCTGTGCCCTGCTCATAGTGGAGACACGAATGAGATTTGGTTATCCCCTTTTATTTTTTGGTCTCTGTTTGTAAACTAGCTTAACATATAAGTTAGTTATACCCAGCAAGACTTTTAGTCTATTCATTGTCTGTTTATCCATGTATTGCCTACATGGCTTTCTAGGGCTGTGAGACAGAGGGTCTTTCTCAGCCTTACCTGGATGACACCAAGGACTGAACCTGGGAAGCTGTGCATGTACAATCGTTGCTCTACCAATGAGCTATGGCCTTTCCCCATGATTTGATGCAAATGCGATGCCTAAGAATAGCGTCAGTTTACAAACACATTCCAAACTTCATATTCTTAACCATAGGTTTACATATTCTGATAAGACTCCTCTCCTCTCCTGTCCATGATCCTCCTCCCCTCCCCTCCTGTTATCCTCACAAAAGTCCTGAGAGGTAAGTTATTCTCCAACCTGGGAAGCTGAGAATCAGCGACTAGAATTCTTGCAGTGAGCTTAATGGCAGAGAGGCTAGAACCTGAGTCTTCACAGTCAACGTCCTACATTCTGACCTCTATATCATCACAGTGAAGAAAATAATTCCTATACAGTATCTGCATTATGCATGAAGACAGTTTGGTGACTGGACCTCTTTAACCAAACTGGATAGATTTAAATAATGGGAGTTCGCACAGTAGTGGCGGACGTTGGTGGTTTGTGTTCTACAATTTCACCGAACAGTTCTATTATCTTTAATACTTACTGCTGATTATTAGCTTATGTCCAGTAGGTTCAAGTTTGAGATCTTCAGTGACATGGTTATATGCTGCACACTTATAGAAGCCCTTGTCTTGTAAAGATACACTCAAAATCTGCAGATTTCCAGAAGGGAGAATTAGGTAGTTTTCTAGAAGAAAAAAGAAAAAGAAGGTTACAAAAAGTCAAACAGACTGATTTTATACACTGTTAATTTGTTCATGTTTAGACATGTATTCAGCACAAACTTGTAATGAACAAAGATCAATTAATTCTTGCAATAGTTTGCAACAATGTGTTGAGAGACAGACATCTTCTTACAAAGAATCTCACCAGTTGATTGTTCCAGCCATCTTCCTCGTACACGGAAACGGACCCGTGCCTCTGGTCTGCTTTTTGGTAGTTTGCAACCAATCAAAGCAGTATTCCCTTCTTCTACTGTTATTGCTTTCCTTGTTGAAGTCTCAAAATCATCAAGATCTAGAAGAAAATTGCACCATTTAATAAAAGTAACAGCAGGGCAAACCTCAGCTTCATAGGAATCCTTTCCTCACCCTTGTGTTAGAAGGTAAAAGTGTGGTTCCAACATTCTCTTCTATATAAAGCTAAGGTGGTGGTGGGGGGGGGGGAGCATGCACGCTCATTACTCTTCCTTCAATTAGTGCACTGATTTTCTCTCAAAAACATCAGCTGACCAAGCCCCCTGATCTTTTCTACCATTATCTGGCTAACTAGTAATTTCACTCAACATGGAAGATAGAAAGAATGTATTTCAATGCATATTTTCTTAGTTTCTTTGCAAAATAACAGAGGAAAAGATGAGATGCAAGGAATAATGGGATACTGATTATAAATTCAGGCACAAAAAATCATGTAAGAAGAACAGAAGACTTTTTGTTGTTCCTGCAGATGCAAGATAATTATAACAGTAGAACAACTCGACAAGGTGTAGAACCAAAACATTAGTGAGGGCCTCAACGTATTATATGAGTCTTCTCTTAAATTACAGAAACATTTAGTTCATTTAAATGCCAACCCAACCCAGTTCCAGATCTTCCAGACATATTTCATCTGCAAGTAATACAGTACACATGAAAGGTAAATATATTCAGAGCTTCCTAGAGTTGGACAGTTTGTTGATGCTGAATGACCTTTACAAGCTCTCAAGGGGATCTAGCTATGGTTCAATACTTTACAGAAACACTTACAATACTCAGTTATGAGAAACTTTTCTCTTACGGGTATTCTGGACATGCTTCATAGGCAAAGCATCTTTATAAAGGAGATTCATCAAACCCAGGCTTGCAAAGGCACAATTCAGGCACTTTACCTCTGATCCCAAACAGCTAAGGCATCTTAGAAACGAGAGTGGTACAAGAGCAGAAAAGGTTTTCAAGAAGGAAGTAAGGAAGCAGGATGATCTTGAGAGGGTCTTTTACCCTTGAACCAATTTATCTGTACAGATCTAAAAATAAATAGGGCTGAGATCAGCCATGAAATATGGAACACTGTTTATAATGCAAAGCATGTTAATTCCTGTAAAATGAATTGGGAGTTGTTATGCTATGTTACTCCACTTTCCTTCTTCTTTCAAGGAATCCAAGGAAACTTACAAGATTCTCCTCCAGTATATTTTATTCTCACAACAAGTTTGTGAGGTGGTTGGCTGGGAATCAGTGACTGGCCCAAGGTCACCTAAGAGGAGACTAAAACTCAGATCTCCTGAGTCCAAGTTGAGCACTCTTGACCTCTAAACCACACTGGCTCCCATTAAGGACACATTCAGATTTTTTGTTGTGTCCCTTTCAAATGAGGCCAAAGCAATCAGGCTGGGACAACCTGCTTAAAAACCAGGAAGATATTAAGTAGGACTTCAGGCAGATTTCTGCACTTAGCACCAACTTTGTTTTCAGGGTTTTTTTTATAAGGATTGTTGCAACAAGTTATTACGAAGTGCTTTCTAGATGATGCAAAGGCACACAAAATAAGCATGTTGCTTTACGCTATAGTTTTAACACTGACTTGGGCCAGTAACAGATTCTCAGCCCAAACTGTCTCTCAGGGTTGTTACTGTAAGGACAAGATGGATAAGAATGAGAGGAAGAGGGGAATTATGTAAGCCACGGTGAGTTCCTTCAAAGGAGAAAAGGTTGGATATAAATAAATAGTAATAACAGCACAGTACTGCTGAAAGAGGTCATTCCTGGCCCCCATATGAGGCCTATTTCGAGACAAAGAGTATTCTTCCAAATGATAAGTGCATGCATGTGGTAAAGACAACAAGCAAAGGGAAGGTAGAAATTTCATTAAAAAGTAACATGTTTCATTTTGCCATATAGCTCACATGCCACAGATATTACTTACACGCTATAGACACTGTTGCAGGTCTGCTGATAATTGCACCAATGCTGTTGTTGGAAATGCACTGGTAGGTACCAGAATTTGAAGGACTGAGAGAGAAGATTGTCAGGAATCCTGGCTGTGTGTCTACTTGCTCCAATTTCTTATGCAATTTCTCTCCATTGAATAGCCAAGATACGTGAGCTGTAGATGGCTCAACAGAGCAGTGAAGTTTTACAGTTGCACCAGGCTTCTGGACAGTAGAAAGAGGCTCAGAAAGAAAGCGAGGGATCAAGTCTGAAAAAAGAAGACACCCATAGGTAAGATGAGCGGTTCCTGCGAAAAGATTTATACTGTACAAATTCAGAAAAAATGTACTACTGCCAAATTTATATCTAGCCTCAAAAATTCTGCATTTTCACCAGACGACAGTACTTTAAACTAAGAACAATAACTGAATCTGTAGCTAGACCTTAAGATGAGTATTTACAATTCTCACAACCAAGTTAACTGTGCTGGATTTATGGCACAGACAGTATTCTGAATAAATAAAAACCAAACATTTCATACAGAGTTATACCTTAGCGACAATTACTGAGTTTAATTCTATATTTTTTTAAAAGTCAGTTTTAAAAATAGTTGTTTATTTTGATCATTAAGCTTCTGTAACTATCTGTCTATCTAAAATGGGATATATCACATACCTGACAATCTAAATTAGAGGCATATACAACTCAAGAAAGTGAACTTACCTGAAGCTGTAGTTGAGAAGAAAACTGTAAGAAAAAGCAGTTCCTGTAAAGGTCCAGGATTAGGATGCATAGTGCCAGAAGAGAAAGGTTTATGGCAAAGAGCTTCTGACTAGTATGAATTACTGAGGAGCCTGGAAAAGAAAAGATTTAGGTAGTGTTCAGTTATCTTCTACATGCCTCAAATATATTATAGCAGTCTGAAATACAAAATGGGAAGGTTTTAAAAATAGGAAATTTAAGTTACAAAATATTACAGATAAGGCCAAGCCAGACAGAGTACATGCCTAAATCTAAAAAAGTTATACTTTTTGTTCTTGCAGGAACATGCATGAACCCATAAAAAATTTTCACAGTACAAAGTACTTTATAATTCTGTAAACAATTTAACTGTCTTACCAATGGAATATCTGAGATACCTTCAGACTGGCTGCCTTGTGCTAATTTAAAAATGTGTGTGTGTGTGTGTGTGTGTGTAGATAAAGCATAAGCTTAGAAGTGTCTTCTTTCTATTCCTACATGTGTATGATCTTGATCCCAAATCAGTGTTTTAAATTAGCACCACTACACAAAACAAGACTTCCATTCACATAATATGGATATTCAGAAATTCTAGCCATTGCTAATAGGGACAACCCTACCAAGGGGTATCATTAAAATATACTCTAACTTCTAAAATGGGGGGAGGGGAATGGTGGCAGAAATTTGCATTTTTTCCTTAGACACCAAAATGTCTAATATCATTTGTAATGATTACGTCCCTCCCCTCTACACTTCCAATGCATGTGCAGGCAGTGCCTGACAGAGGAAGTAAAGAACCAATTACCAATAATATAAAAACAGTAAAGAACCAATTACCAATGATATAAAAAGTAACTACAGATAATGGGAAGAGAGAGAGAGAATCTGTGTGTAGAAATACAGTATTACAAAAAACAAATAAAAGAAACAGTTCTTAAAATAGTTTAGAACATTCTTGAGGTACGCCTAACATTAACTGATGATGATGGAGATAGACCCAATGCTGGAGAGTCAGGGTTTGATGCTGCTGGAGGAAGGAAGGAAGGAAGGAAGGAAGGAAGGAAGGAAGGAAGGAAGGAAGGAAGCTGAGCAACATTATGACAAGGGAAGAGAAACCTGCAGGTGACTTTAACACTGCAAGTCAATGCATTTGGCAATTAAACACACGATAGAGGAATTGTGTGTCATGAAAGATGTCAATCTCATTTGGCTCGGTTTCATATTTGCACACCATCTTACTCAGTTCACAGCATTATGCAAAGTCATCTTGTCCCATTGTCATCTTTACACCCACGAAAACCAACATTCCTTCACATCTTTCAGCGGTGCACATATTGCAGATGGAACTTAATTTTAGCAAATAAAACTGGATCTTTTTAAGGTTCACACTTAGCCACATTTAAAGCAAAAGTATTAATGCTTACAGTATTTGTACAGAAAGAAATTGCCCTTTCCTTTTGCCACTAGCTCTTCCCTGATCACTAAACTCTTGGTAAAAGTGTTCATACTGTATTGCTGGAGTGTGAAAAATCAACTGTAACAGTTTGCAATAGACTAGGCTTGTTTGTTTGTTTGTTTATTGGCAAACAGTTCAATGTAATCGAGTACCAGCCAACATGCAGTCCATCCGTTTTAAAAAGCAATCATATACATTCTTTCACAGGAGCCTGTTTCTCTCCCCACCCCAACCCTTAAAAAAGCTGGTGTGGATTAAGATATTCACCTGGAAAATAAAAGCAGTGTAAACTTTGAAATATTTTAAATGTTATAATCTCTGCCAACTCCCAAACTATACCAAATAATGGAGCACCTTGGAGCTTGCTACCCCTGCACTCCCACCTTTTCACAGGCTCAATCAAGTCAGCCAAGCATGCAAACTGATCCTGTCGCCAGCAAAAGCATTTCCTTTCACTGTGGTCAGGCAAAGGGATGGGAGGAAAATGGAAATGACTTGAAGTTATGGCACCAAAAAGACCAGACAAGCAAGGAAATAATCAACTCCACATGAGCCACTTCTAACCTATCACAATGGAAAGGGCCCATGGCTAACCCCAGGAAAGGTCAGGCAGGCCTTGGGGGTCACATACAGAAAGAGGCAACAGTGAGAGGGTGCCAGCTGCAATAAGCATCAGCGTGTTCCTAATTGCACTCAGTGAAGAGCGGCTGAGCTCTAAACAAAGTTCTGATTTAGTCAGAATCTGATGAAAAAATTAAAAATCCCACTGGTCCACTGGGGGCATGAGCCACAGCTTCTATTTCTGTGCACCTCTACATTACAAGAGATCAGGCATCCAACACAAATGTGGACAAGCAACTTGCAAAAGTGACTTTAAAAGGCAGATACAGAAGGACTTGCGGGGAGGAAAGGAGAGAAGGACTGCTGATTTCAAAGCTCCCTCCTTTTGTAAACAATTATGTGGCGCCAAGATTTGTACTAGGCTTAGCAAATGAAAAAATAATAATTCAGCAGTATTTTCGTATATTAAGATTGGAGGCAGTATGTGTTGACATGTATGTTTCTTAGTGTATCCATGACAGACAAAAGCAGACAAAAACATAAAACAAAACACATTAAACTAATTTGAAATCTACTCAGAAGTCATTTTATCCATTCAAACATGTTACACTTCAAATATTGCAGATAAAGACCTTCTATATACATTGCTAATTTGCTTTTATTCTGAACTACCTTGACTATGTAAATAAAAGGCAGGTAAGACATTTTAAAATTATTTATTTTGGTTTGATAGCTAAGCTGGTTTCAAGGTTATGGTGTATCATCTAGTTAGTATTTAATTGAAGATATAATGCAGCGGATTAACAGAGTACTATTAATGCACTATATAACTATACCTAAATAGTTAAATTGTCTCTAGGCATTAAATAAATGATGCTCACAACCATTAAATGGGCACTTTCATACCTACTGTATGTTAAAAGCCAAGTGCAAATTAAAAGTTAAATTGTGTCAGAGTAGGCAATATCTAAGAATGTCATACAGATACATAACAAAGATCTGTTACTGTTTCCCAGAGGCACCCCTAAGGCTGCATTGTATGGTACCTGGAAGGATGTTTGCATTCTTTCCCTCTGAGGGCAGAGAAATAGAGATAAGTCTAAACTGCACAAAGGAAGATCTGATTTCAGAAACCCTATCCCAGTTGTGTCTCCCTCATGGTGGAACTCCAGCTCTGGTAGAAGCAAAAGTAGATATGGCAGGAAATGATGGGAGCCACTGGATTCATATCCTTCCCATTTTGCCCAGTATGTCCCTGGAACTGATAGAAATCTATGTCAGGCTTGGAAAGAAATTTTAAAAGTATAAAAACACCCCCTTCCAACTTGCAGGTAGGGGAAGAATAGAGAAAAGCACCATTTCATTGTAAAAGTACCCGTCTTCCTGGCATAAACCTAGCAGGGCTTTGGATAAAGCAGCTCCTTTGCCTTTGGATCTTCAACTTTTTTAAAAAAGATATACAATGCAATGACATGGGGACATCTTCTTGCTCTGGGGTAGCTATCTCCCACATCCCAGTTCTCATTAGGTTAATGGGAACAGCCACAGTGACCTTCATCCTGCTGTTCTCCTCTGACTTCAGAAAACTGACATGTGCGGCCGGTAGTGCACGCCCCCTTTCCCACCACAAACATTTTCATAGCCCAGGAAAAGTGAGAGAGGAACCAGGTGCAGCGTTCTCTTTTCAGGTGAATTGCCAAGCAATTCCACTGGACTATTCTTCACATTACTCATTTAATCAGTGCAAGAAATTCACACAGACATAGCAAGTAAGATTAATACAAATTTTCACAAACCACCAGAGGGAAAGGAGGACACAGAGAAATGTATGCTTTCATAAAATGATGTGGACAGACAGGAATGTTGAAACTGCTACACAAGTTCTGTCCTCAAGGGCAATTTTCTCATCAAAATCCAGCACTAACTGCTGCAGTTCTGTAAAAACTTCACAAAATTAATTAAAAACATAAATTTTAAAAAGCTTTTTACTGCATGCACAGTAGTTTTATCAGAGAAAACAGTTACACAGAGAGAAAATGACTTGCCCAAGTTATTCAGTAAGTTTCACAACTTAAGAAGGCACTTCAATCTGGGCCTCTAGTATTTCATTTAAATGTTTAGATCCTGAAAGACGTTAATGAAAGCTTACAATTAACAAGTGTTTCCCATTCCAAGTTTTCTTGGTAACATTTGTTAACAAGTCCAGTGGCTCTTTAGTTATAGATGAACCTCCTCAGACAGAAACCTTGCTGGGAACCTTCTTAGGGGATGAAGTAATTTAATAAATGAAGCTGAATTCTTGTGCTTCTGAATAAGGCTTCCACTGGATCATCTTGGGTAATTTTAAAATATAAGGATGTATAAAACATCCTTATAGTTTAACATACTTTATTTTTCTCTTCTGCTCAGTTTGGATGGCGTGCCACACCTCCCACGGGTACCAGTTATATATCCAACCCCCACTCACGGGCTGTTGTGTGAGCCCAGTGAACATGGGTTATGCAAGGCTTGTTTAACCCTAACATAACCTACACTCAAGTTTGCAAAGCATAACAACCACCGAGTAAGGACTGCATATCCAAAACAGTGGCTACATTTACCGCACCCATACCACAGTATCACTGTGGGTTAAACAGCCCACAGTGGGCTGTCAGGACATGCCAAAAAGCCCTTTATATGGCAAAAGGGGGTTTACAGCTGGGTGTCCTTACCACTATGGTAACTTGTCAGAAAGTGTCCAGGACGTTGTTCAAGACACACTCAAGAGGCATTTAGATCATGTGGCTCGGGTGTTATCAGGGTTGAATCAATGGGAATGGCAACCCAGGTGAAGAGGACTTAGAGTGGCATCACTCTGGGGGGACTCTTGGCACTCTGGGGCAGGGAGGTGAGGAGAAATGCAGCAGCACTGAGGAGATCCAGGATGCAATACTATACTCACCTGAGAACAGGTCATATTAAATTCAACGGGGGCTGAGGGGCTATTTCATGCATGCGCATGCACACACAAGCACTGCCCATGCACTCATCGCAGTCTGCAATATAAAATGATGCCTAATCTTCCCATACAACCTCATAAATAAATCCCCAAAAGCTATCAGCCTTGCTTTTACTCATTAGGGGGAGTGGAGGACAAGAGAAGCTCTGTCACTTTCACTAGCCCTTATAAGACTCTAAGACATTTTACAGGCCATAAATGCTGCAGGATGGCAGAAGCACACACCACTCCCTATTTCTTCCACCAGTCCACCTGGTTTCTATGCTGGCCTGCAGGAGGAGACTTTCCTTACAGAGATGCAGTGCACTCACAGATTAGGGGTTTGATAACTCCCTTTTCTTGGCCATCTGTTTTATTTCTGCATTGAGCAGAAAGAAGCTATGGAACCTACCTCTAAACCCAGCAAAGGAATGGGAGCAGCGTGTCTCAACAGAACCTGCCACCAAAAATCTGCAGCAATTTGGCCTAATTTGCCTGTGGAAGATCCTAACCCTTCCATACCATTACCTAAGACTGACTGGTTTCCCTATCAGTGAGAAAGTACAGAGTATGGCACTCTGAAGCATAACCTTTCAAGCAACCCCAAGATTTTCTGATATATTCTACACCTACATACTATCAAAACACAGTAAGCATGTTGCACTTGTATCAGTTCATACTCACATCAAAATTCAGGGCAAAAATCAAGGGAATTGACCCTGCAACCCTTAAAGAAAGAGATCTTGCAGCTGTAGTGCTTGATGAAAATGTCAACCAAATGTGCAGTTGCTATGAAAAAAAAATCAAACTCCATGTTTGGAATAAATCTTCCACCTTCACACTGCGGTATACAAACTATGGTGTGATTGTGCAGTTCTGGTCATAGTACCTAGAGAAGGATATCGTAGAGCTGCAAAAAATGCAGAAAGGGTAATCAAAGTATCAGGGGCATTATACCTATGTCTACCAGTTGCTGGGGACCTTGCGTGGGAGGGTGTTGCATATGGGGGAAATGACGTCTTGCATTTGATGTCTTGCATCTGGGCAGCTCTTTGCCATTGAGTGGAAGCAATGGTCTGATCCAGCATGACTCTTATTATATGAGCACCACCTGCTGTACACTACACTGCAGCAGGAAGCTCTGAGCCAGGTGGGGGCCATGTGGGAGTACCTATTCGCTTTTTGAAGGCAGCGTAGGAAGAAGCCACCAATCAACCGTGGAGCAAGAAGAGGGACCTCAACGGGAAGGAAGTATAGTTATTGGCTCTCTGGAGCAGCACAAGAGAAGGGGGTCCTTTTGAGTATGTGAGTCAAGACGACGCAAATGAAACCCAAATGGACCTGTGGCTTTTAACAAGTGCCTGCTGCAAACCTTGCAAATAATCCAGTGAGAACTTACTTGGTGTTAACAGAAAGCGGAAGTGGTTAAACCAACTATGGGCATTGCACGAATGGTAACCCCGGCTTACTATGATGTGTGAATGCAGCCAATATGTTGCCAACACTCTTATGCAGTTGTAGAAGAAAAGCTCATTTACAGCAGGATGCTTAGGAAACAAAAAAACATTTTTCTCCTCTGAGACACCTCAAAGTTGTACACCTTTAGAGAGCAGCCACTAGCCTTTTACCTAAGCTGCACTTCAGTTATGGCTCCTTGGTACAGTATGTCTTCTACATTTTGCCTGGAAGCTTGCAAATATTCATTCCTGAACTTGACTTGTAGGTCAGTTAAATCACACTCCTGCAAGCCTCACATTGAGTACTGCACAGTTTTCAACTGCTTTGATTATTCAATTGTTATATACAGGAACAGAGGAAAGCAGCTTTGTTTGAAAACCTGGCATCTGGCTCTGTGCAATGAAGACTAGGCCTTGCATAACCCAGCTGTTACTCAGACATGCCCACTGTCAGTCCATTGGAACTTATACAGGCTGCCCCTCAACCAATCAAAACTTGCTATATCCATTGTTTATGTTTGGTCTTTCTGGACAGTTCTTTATACCACATCAGAATATATATTTTAGTATTTTTGCTACTACAGGGAGTTGTACAATGTCTATGATATGTGCTACTTATTGGAATTTCAAGTAGTACTGTGTATGCCTACATTAAGGGACTTTGATGCTTTCAAACCACATTACAAATTATAAATCAATATAAAATCCATTTTATATGGCATTTATTGTATTTTAGTGCTATTGTGTCCTTCAATTAATTTGAGTTGTGACTGTTGTGGGGTTTTATTGTAGGGTTTTATTATGTTTTATTGTTGTAAGCATTTACGCTAGATTTAATATGATTGTTTAATTGTATCTGTTTTATATTTGTGTAAGCTGCCCAGAGAGGCAACCTGGCTAATGGGGTGGGGGGAATTTAATAAATAAAATACACTCTTCAAATGGGGAGGCTGGTCAGAGAACTATGTAATTAATGAGTAATAAGTTGTAGGGGAGTTACGTCCTTTTCTTGTACTTAAATTTGAGCTTTTCCAGACTAGAATAAAGCAAGACAAGGTAACATACAGTATACACACTTTTCCTGCCTTTTTGATGTACTTCAGGAGTAAGTCTCACCCTCACCAGTTGCTGAGGAACCTGGACAGGTGGAACTCTACCCATTCTGTCTTGAGGGATTCAGTGGTCAGTTGGTTTGCCACCATGTGAATTGAAAGCTAAAATGGATGGACCATCAGTCTGATCCTGCACGGCTTTTCTTATGTTCTTAGTTCTACATTCTTATTCTAAAGATAAAAACAAACATGGGATTATTTATCCTAAATCCTGTGTGTTGTTGTTGCTGTTCGTCGTGAAGTCGTGTCCGACCCATCACGACCCCATGGACAACATTCCTCCAGGCCTTCCTGTCCTCCACCATCCCCTGGAGTCCACCCAAGTTCACACCAACTGCTTCAGTGACTTCTTCCAGTCACCTCATTCTCTGCTGTCCCCTTCTCCTTTTGTCGTCAATTGTTCCCAGCATTAGGCTCTTCTCCAGGGAGTCCTTCCTTCTCATGAGGTGGCCAAAGTATTTGAGTTTCATCTTCAGGATCTGGCCTTCTAAAGAGCAGTCAGGGTTGATCTCCTCTAGGACTAACTGGTTTGATTTCCTTGCAGTCCAAGGGACTTGCAGGAGTCTCCTCCAGCAGCACAATTCAAAGGCCTCAGTTCTTCAGCGCTCAGCCTTCCTTATGGTCCAGCTTTCACAGCCATACATTGCAACTGGGAAAACCATAGCCTTGACTATACGCACTTTTGTCGGCAGGGTGATGTTGTTGCTTTTTAGTATGCTGTCTAGATTTTCCATAGCTTTCCTCCCCAGGAGCAAGCGTCTTTTAATTTCTTGGCTGCAGTCCCCACCTGCAGTGATCTTGGAGCCCAGGAAAATAAAATCTGTCACTACCTCCATTTCTTCCCCATCTATTTGCCAGGAAGTGAGAGGACCAGACGCCATGATCTTAGTTTTTTTTAATGTTGAGTTTCAAGCCAACTTTTGCACTCTCCTCCTTCACCCGCATCAAGAGGCTCTTTAGTTCCTCTTCACTTTCTGCCATTAGAGTGGTATTATCTGCATATCTGAGGTTGTTATTTCTCCCAGCAATCTTATTTCCAACTGTGTACTTGTATGTAATAAATTTGAAGGGTATGATTAGCAATTCCAACTAGATTACATCTAGTCCAGACTTTGTCCGACTTTCTTGAACTATATGAAGAGTTACCATATGTAGCTCAACCTGGAACACATTTAAAAGGGGAGCTGGGATATAAGCAAGCCTTAAATATGAAACAATGGCATACTTTCATTTTAAGACCATGAATCCCCATGTGAGCAATCCTGAAACACAACCCACATTGGAGCAGCCTCTCAGTCATTACTATCTGCTTTTGAAGACGTCAATTTGGCTGAATGTATGCAGTAATTCTCATTGCTGCTCATTAAGACATGGGCAGCCGGCACAAGATTTGGTAGTTCTGTCAGGTGTACAGTCCTTCTGGACGCCCCACTGATTTTTCATTTTTCTCTATCACCCATAAATTAGCAGGCAACACATAACTATCAGTAGTGAGGAAACAGTGATCTGCCTAAGGACTGCTAGGAGAGTGAAGAGGATTAAGGAATCTCATTGCACCCAGCATGAATGCCACATTCACACAACTGTGCTGGAGATAACATCACATGGGAATAGCTCTACTCATGTGCCTCTTTCCCCAGCACAATCTGACTCCTGACAGCTTGAAAAAAAATCTTTACTAGTAGAATCATTCAGTTGATACCCAGCTAAACAAATGTTTGGGAGACTACAGCAAATTTAAATGAGAAATATGGACATACTGAGATGCAGGGAGTGTGTATGTGTGTTCTGATTGTTTGTGTGCCCTGCCATAAGTAAAGTTTGTCTATGAGGATGAACCAGGACTGAAAACATGGAGATTATGTTTAATTTATACTCCAGAAAATCCTCCTCTGTATAGACTTCTTATCTTCCATGAGATTATTTCTACAAGCTCAGGAAAAAGGAAGGAGGAAAAAGTACTGAAGACTTCAGAATACAGCGGGAAGTAGAAGAGATACAAAACCTGACAGTCATACCAGCCAAGTCATTAAAAGATGGGGGCTGATAAGATTGACACAGAGAGTGAAATTGTTGCCTGTGCCTCTGGTCTGCAAAGCAAAATGGCTCAGGATGCCTTTCCAGGATACACATCACTTACTCTGCTGTCAAATACTGTGCCTCACACCCAACAAATGCTTTGGTAGGATATGCAAAGAATCTCATTAGTTTGTTGAATACAGACTGTAACTCAACTCGTCAAATGATCCATGTCCTAGGCAGAGCAATGATCAGTTACACACACACACATATCCTCTTTGTCTCTATGCATGAGAAATGCCAGAATATTTTTATTGGATACTATTTACGAAGATACTCTTTCTACGCAGTATCAACAACAACTGAAATTCTTTTTGTTGTTATGTGCCATCAAGTTTTTTCCAACATAAATGAAAGCCATCCAAAATGTCCAGCCCATGACAGCCCCACTCAGCACTTCTAAATTCAAGTTTTTATGCCTCACTAAAGGCCAGTGTAGCCATGCATTTTCTTGAAAAAAACAGATCTCCTTCTTTATAGTTATAGAAAGTCATGAACACTGAGATTTAGAGTTAACAGAATCATCTACCCTTTGACATAGAACTATGATTATCTGAACAGTTGTCTGCATTAAATCCATTTCAGCCCAATCAGCATTATTCTGACAGCTGCAGTAACAAGCAAAGAGCAGGAGCAAACAGGGTAAGCTAAGCCAGAAATATCTGCAGATTCATGCTAGTTTACCCCAACCTACCTAGGTTAAGTAATCTGCAGTTGGATATCTTACATCCAAAAAGGAGGAAGGCATTCAGTGTACACAATAAAAGACAGAATGGAAACTAAATATAATCCCTCTAGTAACCTGAAGTTCAACCATAAGGTGAAAAAAGTTAGAGTGACTTCCAAGTAGAAGTCTCAAGTCTTATTAATATGATTTGAAGAGACATTATTAACATGGCGAGCAATTGTTCAGACATGCTGAATGATGTTCTGAGAACAAATGTAAATATCAGCATCATTTTCTTTCACAGTGCTCCTACCCAAGGCTCTCAGCGCTATTCCCTTGGGCAATACAGATATTCGATAATACAGAGATAGACACACACACACAAACCCCACCACCACTCTTCTTCTGCCAAATAACTATCATATTCAGCTTTGTGACTATTTGTTCAGAAGTATCTGAATTCTTCATAATAACTAATACCTGAATTTGCAACCCCGTTTCCACAGACACTGTCAAGAAACCATGGCAACTCTATAAAATACAGGCAAAATGCATATTAAGACAGCTTATCAAGTTTTAACTTTATGTTATAACTTGTAGGAATCTATGTTATTTGTGATCCCTAAAGGAACATATATCTATTAAACCCACACCTGCAGCCAGAATTTATAGCACCCAATCATCTACTACTACCTTACATCATAGGTAATTAGAAAGCAATGAATTCATTGCCCCAGGGGAAATCCAGTCCCCAAGAATGAGAACACAAATGTGAGCTCCACATACTTTCGATGATAAAGAGGTGAATTAAAACCTGATTGAATATAGTATAAGGAAGGAGAAACTATTATATTTTGACTTCTTACTTGATTTAAGCTAATTATCATTTGAGATCTCAAAAACATGGTCTTCCTTGCATTTTCTTCGCACCTTTTCCGGTTCTACAATATCCAATACTGGTCTGCTGGGATGTTTAGGTCTCTAGACTTGTGAGTGCAGCAACTCAAATCACATAATCAAGCATTCACCTTTTAGAAACCAGTTCCTGTGCAATTCCTTCACTTCCATACCTGAAAAAAGTTCTACATTGTGTTTCTTAGGCTCAAGCTTCTACAAAGCTTTGCAAGGGAGGAGTTCCACAGGAAGAAAGGAACCATTGTGAATGTTTCTGATGCCATCCCACAGCTGAAATCTTCAGTGAGGAAGAGCACCATCACGAGGCTGACACTTGCTTTCAAGGATTTTGGTTTTTCTAAGAGATACATTACATAAACATTAATGCAATTTAAGATACTAGAAGCCTGTACTAACTCTTCAGCTGATACATTCCAGATAACACAAACCTCCACACAGCTTCTTATCAGCAAAGGAAATCTTTCCTCATGCCTTCTGCCACATGGCTTGTCACCCATATTTCTTTTCCATATCTGGCGTCCTCAGGCTATTTGCTTGATTTCTACAAAAGCTGCAAGAGAGCTTTCTCTGCAGCCTGCTACTTCCTTGTTTTTAAAGTCAAACAATGCTCCCTAAGTTTGATCTCTGTAGAGGTTTTCAAAACTCACAGTACTGTGGCCTGGCACTTCATTGTAATTTATTTAAACCCTGCCAGTTCCTATCACTAAGCTAATCATGTAAGCATGCCATTCTGCGCTAGTGTGGAGTACTGATTAAGAGCGTGGGACTGGGACTCTAGGATCTAGTTCCTGCTTGGCCATGGAAGCAACTGGGTGACTTTGAGCCAGTCATAGATTCTCAGCTCAACCTACCTCACAGGGTTGTTGTTAGGGGTATAAGACTGAAAGCAGGAGGAGAGTTCTAAGCCATTTTGACTTTTTTGTAAGAAAAAAGTTGTGCTGTAAATCAAATAGATAAATATGCAATTCACTTCCGCCTTATTTACATGCTCAGTGCTTGTCAGGTTGGTCTGACCACTGCAGCCTTCCAAGTGTGCAGTCTTTCATGCCTTCCCTTTCACACACACACGCATACCACTCGGGTTCAGATGATCGTGGGAATAGCAAGCCATGCTAGGTTATTTTCCCTGCCCGTGTGCATGCCCAACGCATGCTGCGCAATTCCCCAACAACTCTTGTGGCATGTGGCTTGCCAACCATGTGAGCCTGGTGAGGCGCAGGGCAGGGGTTGGTTTCAGACCCACTCCAGAACCATACAACAATGGGTTGCTCTGGCTGGACCGAAAGCCACCCCTGCAACGCATTTTGCTGAGTTGAGAGAACATGGAAAGGCAAAACTGCGCGGGTAATTAGGCAAACTGCACACCATGTAGTTGGAACATTCAGGTATTTTGATCAGTCCCCATAAACTAAGGGCAAGCGTATTCCGTTGCCTCTAAAGAGAAATGCTTGTGCACTTTTGTGTTCATTTGTAGCACAACACATAGACAAACACAGTCGTTTGGTCTGACAATGAAATTATCACCACTCTGTGGCAGATGTATTACATCACCACCAATCTGGGTGCGAGGCTGCAAGAATGAATCCTGTGGCCATGCAAGCTTAACACTTTTGGAACAGATACTTCCATGCTATTGTGATCATAAAAGGAGGAAAGCTTATTCTCTTTTCTGCAT